ATGAGGCCCCCGCATACCCAAAAGGCTCCTGTGTGAGTCAGTGCCTCCGCCTGGCCTGGCTCCCGGAGGGGGGTGCTCTGGTGAGACTTCTAGGTGGTGGCGCAGCACAATGTAGAAAAACATCAAAACCTTGGGGTCCTGGGTCTGGACCCATCCTTTAATGGGACTGGCATTTTCCTGGGATCCAGAAATGCAGGAGACGCAAGACCACAGTCATTGACCTGAATCTACCCCCTGATGATTTACAAAGTCACTTTCCAGGCACCACTTCCCTGATCCTGCAGTAGCCCCTGGAGGTAGAAGACCCGGTGCTCTCTGACAGCAGGTACCAGTGCCCAGCATGGAGGAGATTCACCCTACAGCCCTCCAGACCTCAACTTCCCCAGCAAAGCTGCCTCGGTAGCATCCCACCCGAGGGCCTATGGAAGCTCACACCCTGGATCCCCAGTGACACAAGGCTGACTCTTCAGAAGCCTGGTCAGTCACTGGGAGGCCAAAGCTGGCAGGAATGATACCAGGGTCTGCCACATGCCCCTGATCCCCAAAAGCATCTCCACTGGATTCATCAAGCAACAGCCTACCAAAGGGGAGACCTCTCCGCGACTGTGGAAAAAACACCGAAACAAACGTCCTGACCCTCTGGCCAGCCCTTCGTCATTAGCCAGCCTTGCGTTTCCTAATCACCCTCCTCAACGTTAAGGTGAGGAAAGCACATGGGGAAATAACAGAGTTTATCTCAAACAGATCGATTCACTCTGATCCATCTGGCCCCAGCCTCTTAATTCTCCGTAATGTCAAAGCAATTTTTGGTTAAGTACACTGTCTGTCCTTTACTAAATTAAACTAATAGATCTAGTGGGACATAAAACCTCTAGTGTATTGAGAATATGAAAAATAAAAAACTCTCCACGGATCTGTAAGATTTATTTTAGCAAACGATTAAATCACACCCTCACACACACACAGCCAGGACAGCCTTTCTGCCAGTGAGAAACTAAGGTTTTGAAAGGCCAGGCCAGGATCTGAACCCAGGTCCACCGAACTCCAGAGCCCTGGACACCACGCTGTCCTGCTCTGTTTTGCTTTCTCCTTAGCTGTACAATGAGTCACAGACGGCCCAGGCCACTACGGCAAGATCTTGCTTTGACAGCATTCATTAGAGACGATGCCCTGGTTTTCCCAACCAAATTCAGAGCTCCAAAGGGGAGTGGGGCGCTCAGGACCCCCTAGACTCAGCACCATGGGGTTCATCTGCAAACCTTGACACTTGACTTGTGCTGGGTGTGCTGCCATTTGTCAAGGCCAGCTCTCCAGGGCAGGAGCACCGTGAAGCAGGGAAGGGTGACAGGTGGTAACCCTCCTTGGAGCTGGGCCCAAATAAGGAGGCATCTGTGGCGACCCCCTCGCTGATACCCAGGGTTCCCAGCCCCCCACTCTGCATGGCATTGCCAGCTTCCGTGCTCCCCTGCTGGCATCCCCCCTCCCCGTGCTGTATGCCACAGGATCCCATCTCTTTCTTGTCATCGTGGCCGAGAGCTTAGCCTGGCCTGTCCCTCAAGTCCACTGATCATCCTGTCCCCCTAGACTCCTCTCTATCCCAGCCACATCCCCATGAAGGCAACCTCTCTTTTCAGACACTGATACACCCAAACTCCACCCCAGCCCGTCACACTTCTGCTCTTTGTTCAGCTCAGAGTCAGGAAGCCTTCCTGGGCAGGACTTACCTATCCCCTCCCTGAAGGTCCCCTGCTGGGAAGAAGATCAAGTGTCCTTTTTGCTTCCCCACTGGGCTCCAAGCACCACAACCAGGGCCCTGTCTCCTCCTTGGCACAGAAATGCTCACCCTAGCTGCCCAGCCCCTCCAGGTTCTCTGCAGGCAGGAACTTAACTGTGCTGCCTGCTGCACCGGCCACACAGAGCGGAGCAGGTGTCCAGAGGTACATCCTGGAGAACAGGTGAGGGTGTTGGCACACTGACTGAATAAATATTGAAGGTGAAACAGACTCACCTGGACTCTCTCCTCCTGCATCCCCCAAGGCAAATGCATCCCACCCCTGAAGAGCAAACAGTCCCAGAGTCTCGGGACCCAGCCAGGTGACACTGACAAGCAATGCCCAATGACAGGCCAGACCCTGGGGCTTCACAGCTGTGAGTCTCCACCCCATGGGAAGCCAGACCTGCTCTGCCAAGGGTACCCAGGCCAGGCTCAGCTGCCCCCTGAGGGGCCTGAGGCCTACGGAGAGCAGAGAGGCCCACTGCGTGCCCATGCAATGCCAGGCTGAAGTCTGGCTTCCCTCCTCATGGAATGGCGGTGATGAGGTGGGACAAGCCCTTTCACTTGCCTTCCCCCTGCTCAGGACCACTTTCCTCTCCACAAGGCACAGAGAGGGCCAGGCCCCCACCCTTGCTGACCTGATCTGCACCCTTGGAGGGGAGTCTGCCTGGGGCTGGACTTCAGGCCTTAATCCCCTGACACTGATGACAAGTGAACAACTAAATTGACCAAAAATAAAAGTCTCCATAAATCTGCTATTCTGCTTTAAGCTGTCGCGTACACAGAGTGTGCTAGGATTATTGATAGAAAAGTTTATGGATGGGCTACATCTTAAAATCAAAATACATTACCCAAAATCAATGTTGCTGTGTGTGGCACAGGGAGGACAGGAAAAGGTCAGCTGAGACAAGAATACTGAAACCCCAACTCAAAGAGGATCTGAGCATTAAAATAAATAAATTTTGAAAGTGAATTCCAGGAACAGCGTTCACTTAGGGCTGTAATTTAAGGGTGCTTTCACAAGCGGCTGGGCAGGCTTTTCAAACAGCAGAATTTGAGGGACCTCTGAGAGCACAGAGAAGCCAACCACAAAACAGTACTGACAAGCTTTGAGCACCGCAGCTCTAAGTCCAGAAACAGCAGCCGTGACAATGGCAGGTGTGGACCAGCACGCCAAAGCTGGGCATACAGACATCAGGGCCCCCTGACAGAAGCAAGCCCATGGGCACAGCCCACCTGGACAAGCCAGGAAAACTGTGGCCCCCAAAGGTCATATAACAAGGGGTATCTCCTCCAGATCCCCTCCTGCAGTGACCCCAGAAACACTTCAGAGCTCCACTGGGAGGGATCCTAAGAGAGAGGGGAGGGAAGGGGAAGGGAAGAAAATGAAGGGCAGGGGGAGGAGGGGGGAGAGGGGGAGGGAGGCAGGAAGGTCCTTCTCCCTACCTGCTGACAAGCAAGCGGGCCAGAAACACATCTGTTGTGAAATGCTTTCACGAATCTGTCAGCAGGGACCCTACTTCAGATCACATAAGCAAGATTCACGTTCAAGCCGCATCATGTGGGAGCCCAAGGGACACCTGCAGTTGGTAGGGCTGAATGGTTGTGTCCCTAGAGAGAAGTATCCTTTGGGAGAGGCAACACACAGGTTCCACCAGAGACGCCTCTTTCATAGCGGCCAAGTGAGAGACCTCAGCCCTCAGCTGGAACCTGACTCCCCTGCAGGTGTGAACAAGGACCTGTGGGAGCTACAGCCTGCTTTCAGCTTACTGATGATCCTCCAGCCAGCCAAAGGGCTAAGTCAAAGTCCCTGACCCACCAGGAAACACCCAGCAAAGGACAACAAAATGCCCTTTTCCACTGCTCCAAAGGACACTCCCAGCCTAGACATTCTCAGGGCCCTAAGTAAGCATCAGGCCCAGCTGAGATGTGACACAACCGAGGTCCCATCACTGCCCCCCAAGTCCATAAGCATGGGCAGAAGAGCAAGCAGACCCTTCAATCCAGGGCAGAGCAGAGACCGAAGCTGAGTCAAGGCCCTCCCAGCTGCCACCTGTACAGGGCAGGGAACCTTGCTATCTCTGCCAGCTCTGGGTATAGGGGAGCAGCTAGAATCTCACCCAGAGTGGGTGAGAGATCAGGGTTTTTGGAAGGAACGGGTATTCCAGAGTAAAGAAGACACAGGCTGACACCTCACTTGGCCACTTATTAGCTGTATGGGCTTGGGGAAGTCTCATGAGCTCTCTGAGCTAGTCTCCTCATCCATAAAATGGGATGAAATCACAGTGTCTCTTACCGGGTTGTTACAGGGATGAAATAACCCCACTTGCACACTCAAAATATAGACATTGAATGCCTACCCTGTGCCAGCCCCTGCTTTAGTGGACTGCAGGCACATCAGGGCAGACAAAGAGCTTTATAGACCTCGAACAAGAAATGCAGTAAATAAGACCACCGCACCATATGTCAGAAGGTGATTAAGGGAAAGGAAAAAAAAACATGGGGAGCAGAATGGCAGGTTAGGGTAAGCTGTTCCAGGTGGACCTCGTCAAGAAGACAACTTTCCAACAAAAACCAGAAGCTGATGGAGTTAGCCAAGCAGGTGCTTGAAGGAGGACCATCCAGCCTGCTGGTATGGCTCATGCAAAGGCCCTGGGGTGGGCGCAAACCCAGTGTGTGGGACTGCAGGAAAGACAGTGTTGTGAGAGGAGTGTGAGCCAGAGAAAGGACAGAAAAGGTGAGGAGGTGAAAGCACAGAAGAAAGTGGGGTTTGGGGAAGTAGATCATTTGACCTCGTCAGGCCACTGTTGCTTATGCTGAGTGAAATGGGAGATACCGCAGGGTTCTGAGCAACAGAAGGCTGATCTCATCTGTCTGAGAAGGATTTCTCTGCTGTAATGTTGAAAACTTATGCGCGGAAAGCGTGCAGCTGATGTCTGCTACACAAAAGCATGTTGTAGCATACAGCTATCCCTCTTGTGAGTAAGGATACTAACTCATGCCATGGGCAAGTAACACCTTACCCCACACCGTGGCACAGACGTGGACAAACAGCCAACCTTAAAAGTCACCGAGGTGTGCTCCCTCTAGCTGCAGAAATTCTCCCCTGTGCATCCCCCGTCACTGGCCCTCAGTCTCGGATTACTGCCTTTGCAGGCAGGCGGTCCCCTGCACCGCGGCTAGCTCTTGCCATCAGAGCCCTGCCAGGAAGCAGTCTCCAGATGAAATCTGCTTTCCTAGAACCCTACCATGGGCCTGAATCCGGGTGGCACAGCTCAAGTCTGCCCCCTCCCTTTGGAAACTGAGGACAGCAATGCCCCTGAGGGAGTCGTGCCTTCCTGGGTCCCAAGCAACTCCCAAGGGCAGGTGGAATTCCCAAGGGAAAGCCAGCCAGTGGTAAGGAAATGACAGGGAGCGCTGGCAACCGCCTCTTTGGAGCCCCTGGAGATGAGCTTCAGGGAGAGGAGGTAGGTCCTGCACATCCTCCTGTTCCAGCAGGAGATCCTGGTGATCACCAGAGACCTAAGGCGGGAGATGGCCTAGAGGTCGTGGATCTAGGGTAAGGACACTGAGACCCAGCAAGGAAGGGTAGTGCCCAGGGGCAACCTCTGGCAAGAACAAAGCTGGGAAGGGGTTTGCAGCTGCTTCCTCTCAGAAGCTGTGCCACTCACTGGCGGCTTGGACGATTGGAAAGTGGCTGCCCTCTGGCTTTCCTTCTCCCTGGCTCCCTGAAAACCCTCTGGCGGTGCCTCAGGGAGGTGAATGCGCCAGGCACACTTGGAATCCACTGAGTTGCCCCACCCAACCTCAGGTCAAAGCTGCTGGGGTCTGCCCTAGGGTAGGAACCGAGATACCGAAATCCACTGAGCGGGGATTCCCACGGGGAAGAGAATTCAGAGACTGGATCCGAGCTACGGGACTGGTCCTAGGACTCTGTGCCCTGTCCGAACCACACAGCCACCGCGCACATTTCTCTTGCAGGACCAATGAGTACTCCCACGGTGGCCGGCGTGGCAGGCTCAGGGTGACGGCGGCGGAGGAAGGCACTGGGAAGCTGAGCTTGCAAGAGCGGGGATGGGCTCCGGAGCGTGGCTGTGGGAGCGACCTCTGCCTCCCGCTGCCCCGGGATCCCCCTTGCACGGTAAAGAGGGAGCAAGGGCCGGCGAAGAGTGTTCGGGGACGCAGGGACAGGCTCTCGAGGGGCAGGAACCCCGCCCCCGCCCAGAAACCTCCCGG